CTGCCCTTCTCTTCTGAGCATTTTTCCCTCAGAAATTCTGTAGCAGCACTGGTACGTGCTTTTGCCGACACATTCTTTCCACATTTCATATCCTGTTTAAAAAGTTGTAAAATTAGATACTAAGGATACTATTTTAAAGTTACTAAGGCAGTCAAAATCAACTCTGTAGTTGTTGACATAAACTTAGCAAACTAGGTGACCTGTTCCAAGTCTCAGATTGTTATTTTTTAAGGAAGTGAACAATTCAACCTTACAGATTCATTGCACAGTTTCTTAATTATTAATGAACGAGGATTTTGGCTTTAAGATAACTGTGCTTTGAATATATGTATGCATTAAATGCTAAGTCAAGAGAAGCAAATCTGTATTCCTTCTAGATAGTTTCTTGTGTTTCAAAAAGAGAGCAACTTCAACTATTTATAAACCATAATTAAGTTTCTTTACAATATGACTTATTCTCAACAAGCAAGTCCTTTTTCTTTTGCTTTCTTATGAACTGTGTGGGAAAATTAGAGTTCAATCACTGCAGAATTTACTCAATGCTTAATTACCCATAAACAGCCTTCCAAGTTCTGCTCATGTAGAGCTTGCATAAAGACATGATTTTTCCCTCACTATGGCTGTCTAAAAATTGACTTTTAAAAAATGATGTGTAAATTGTAACATAGGAGAAAGCAGTGTTTTACTATGGGTTTGGCTTCTTTCCCCAGTCTGCTGTTTGAGTTCATCATATATTAACAGTGTGATGCTTAGGAAAGCCAAAGTAAGAAATCATCAGTATTAAATTACTTCGAATGTGGAACTAAATTAGAAAGCTTTACTTTCCTGAATGAGCTAATTGTTTAAATTTTCCAAAGGAAATGTTTCTATTTCTGTGAGAGAAGGGGTAAATGGGACTTCCTCTGACATAATTTTCGTTTTAAATCTGAGTTTGAGAGCAACATTTTTACCTTCATAACCAAATATTACTGCTTAACTGCATGACTTGTATAAGCTTGCTAGTTGAAGTGACTCACTTACGCAGATGAAGTTATTTTTAGGGAGATAATTTGCACTGTTTAGAAGAGAGGAAAAAAGGGAGAGAGAGTCCTACTAAGAGCTGGATCCCTCATTATAGTTTACAGAGCTCGTGAACCCAGCATCCAAGCAAAAGATGACTAAGCAAGGGGTCTATTGGTACTTTCAGGAATTTACAGACATGAGTCATCTGCTTATTTTCTGCAGACATATCACCAGGGTACTTCTGAGTCAGCTGTTATTTGGAAAGAGTACTTGTATTCAACGTGATACGTTTTTGTAGTTCTTGGGTAACTTGCATGCCAAACCAACACAGTTTGCCTACTTCAAATGTTGATTTACAGAACTGGTGTTCTGTAAATTTTTCATGGCAAAGTATAAATGTTGTCTTGAATGTAATTACAATAACACCTTTGCCACCTTATGTATTGCATGGAGGCAGAACTGATTTTTTATTAATGCACAGATTGAGAGTCAGACTGCCTATATGCTACCAGGTGAAAAGAAAAATTTTCTTTAGCAACCTGTGTGACTGTGAGCAGAATTTGACCTTTTGTATCAAATGTACTTTGCTGGCATGAATTACCAATGGTATTTGTTATTTTTTGCATTCTGTGCAGTAGCAGTGTCAATGGATGGGCATCCACTGCGACGGAAGCAAGTTCTTGCCTTCCTTTCCTACTGCCAAAATAATAGCTGGCTACCTTGAGATATGTATAACACTTTACAACTCAAGGCTATTTCCTGTTTACTGGTCTTTTAGGTGTGGTTGTGTTCCAGAATTAGGGACAGGTTATTTTACTTGGTCTGGACTTATCCACACCTTGTATTAAGAAAACACTTGGATTAGAAAACTGGAAGATTTTAGGTGAAGGGTAGTCTTAGAAATCAAAGGCAGGTCAAATTTTTCAAAACTGCTTGCAGTTCAGGGTGATACTGTTGTTGGCCAGATGTGGGATGCACAACTTTTAATCTGATTTGATTATCTTATTTATTGGATCAACATAAGAAATTCCTGAAAATTCCTATACAGATTTTGGTTAGTAGAACAAGAAATTTTTTTCTGTTATGGTTTGGTGATACCTTCTTATAACAAATTAAAGTATCTCTGTAATGAGAGCACTGTCTTGATTATCCATTTAAACAGCATTTCTAATGCTGGATACTTTGTGTTAAGGGCAAACCTTTAGTTGTAGATAACAGGAGGAAAAGTGTTGCTGCTTGCCCCTGTTATGTAGACAGAGTTTTCAAAGGAAAGTTAGTGAAAGCTAGAAATTCTCAACTAAAAACTATAATAAAACTATTACTGGAATGCTTTGTTAAAGTTTGTTATTCCTCTCACATGGTGATAAAATACAGAAGTGTAAAGAGTTGTTTTCTGTTAAGGAGTTGGTACTTAAGAAGGAAAAAGATGCACTAGAGGAGCAGAGTTTAAGCACTAAGAGTTGAAGTAGTATATTTGTAGCATTAAAATGGAGAACCAGTCTTTTTTCTTTACTCTTTTACAAGGTGAAGTCCTTCAGAGGCTGAGGCACACACACTGTTTGTGAGGGGAGGAGACAGCTTGCTTGCTGATAAGTGAGCATGTTACACCAATGTTTTTCAGGGTTGTTATTTAGTAATCATGTTATAAAGAGGAATTTGACAGAGCAATCTTTGAATCTAACCTTTGTTAAAGCAGTGATCTGCCCTCAAATTAGCAGAACTCTGCCCATGTCATTACCACTTAAGTATCTCCTGGAAGCTGCTGTGTGGGCTGAGTCACCAGTACTTTGGGAGTTGTCACGTGTGGCTCAGACACTGGGTCATGAACTGAGCAAGCGCTGTCATCCACAGTGATTTCTTGTATTTTGAGACTACAGCTGGAATAGCACATTTGGTTTTGTGTACTTCATGGCTACAAACGGCTTTTACTCCTAGAGCTTGGAGGGTAATTTAGGGAAAAGGAAGATACGGTGTGGCTGATGCACATCAGAGTATTTAGATGTGATTAGAAAATCTGAAAAATGAAGGAACTAGTGGCATAATAGCATGGAATTTGGAAAGTAAAACCTGTCTTACACTGATATCTGAGTCTGTAAACAGAGTTTCATAGGAAGTGCTGGAATCTCTGCTCCAGGAAGTATTTAAAATACAATTCTACTGCAGTGTTCTTTCATTGTGCAGAATTAAAGAACTGGGCTTTGGAGGATAACAAAAAGTACAGTTATAGATGCTTTATAAATTAAGTGTACACCTTTAAAAGAAATCCGCTTTATTCTGTTAACGTTGTTATATTAAACATATTAAACAGAACTGTTGGATCGAGTTCTGTTTAATATCTTCATCAATGATTTAGATGAGGGGATTGAGTGTGTACCATCAGCAAATTTGCAGATGACACTAAGTTGGGGGGGAGTGTCGATCAGCTGGAAGGCAGGAGGGCTCTTCAGAGGGACCTGGACAGACTGGAGAGATGGTCTGATTCCAACGGGATGAGGTTCAACAAGGCCAAGTGCCAGATCCTCCACTTTGGCCACAACAACCCCCCTGCAGTGCTACAGGCTGGGCACAGAGTGGCTGGAGAGCAGCCAGGCAGAAAGGGACCTGGGAGTTTGGATTGACAGGAAGCTGAACATGAGCCAGCAGTGTGCCCAGGTGGCCAAGAAGGCCAATGGCATCCTGGCCTGGATCAGGAAGTGTGGCCAACAGGTCCAGGGAAGTGATTCTTCCCCTGTACTCAGCACTGGTGAGGCCACACCTGGAGTACTGTGTCCAGTTCTGGGCCCCTCAGTTCAGGAAGAATATTGAGGTGCTGGAGCAGGTCCAGAGAAGAGCAACGAGGTTGGTGAAGGGACTCGAGCACAAGTCCTGTGAGGAAAGGCTGAGGGAGCTGGGGTTGTTTAGCCTGGAGAAGAGGAGGCTCAGGGGAGACCTCATCACTCTCTACAACTCCCTGAAAGGAGGTTGTAGCCAGGTGAGGGTTGGTCTCTTCTGAAGTGGTGGATTTTCCATCTCTGGAGGTTTTTAAGATGAGACTGGATGTGGCACTTAGTGCCATGGTCACAGTGGTAGTGGATCAAGGGTTGGACTTGATGATCTCAGAGGTCCCTTCCAACCTCGCTGATTCTATGATTCTATGATTCTGTGATGTTAGTAATTCTAGTCTGTTGTCATAACTCAATTTAACTACAGATTTCTGAAATTGAAAGTAGACCAAGAAAATATAAACTATAATTCTAACAATGAAAAAGTGAAAAAACCAGTTTCTGACCATGAAAATATATACCAGTTTCTAACTGTTGTAGACCATTTTATTGTTCTGCCAGACCTAGCTGATCATGAGACAGTGATAAGCAAAGGGAACTAAGAGGTTCTGATTTTTATTTTTAGTGAGATATTTTGGGTATTAATGACTTTGCAGTGTGTTTTTGGGTTTGTGGGTGTTTTTTTTGTCTAGCAGATGACAGCAAGTTGAAATCTTTTCCAGCTCATGTGACTGAATCTTTCTACATTCTTTATCAAATCATTTAACCACTTTAGGACCCAGACAGCTGTAAAATGAGAATGATAATGCTTTTTATGTCCAAAAGGGCATTAAAACGAATTGCCTAAAGCAGATAAAGAGAAAATTGATTATTGAATGGTATATAGAACGTATTTTGTGATTTTTTTATAGGGAAAAATTTCACAGTAAAAGGAAAATAACTTATTTTTTATAACAAAGTAATCATGATGTTAATTTTATGATTAGCATAGAAATACACTAACATTTTTTTAATTATGTGCTTTACAAAAGTGTTCTGTAAAGCGAAGCATCTCATACAGTAATAGGTTGGAATCATTACTTGTGAGAAATACAGAGCTATATTTTAGAACTAATCATCAATTTCTTCTTTTCTGTCACCTTTAAACACATAGAAAGGACTGATATTTTCCCAGTAAAAAAGGGAGAAAATGCAGTAGTGTATTTTTATGATTTTTTTTTTCTTTTTGAATTATAGTTGACCTACCCCTGTACTTTCCACGAGACCAACCAACCCTAACATTTCAGTCCGTCTACCACTTCACCAACAGTGGCCAGCTGTACTCCCAGGCCCAGAAGAATTACCCTTACAGCCCGCGCTGGGATGGCAATGAAATGGCCAAGAGAGCAAAGTAAGCCAGATTGCCTTTTCCTAGTAAATATTGCTTTTGTTACATGGGTTTCTGTGGATAGAAGTTTCATGGATTAAACTGTCCATTTCTAGCATTACAAAAGCTGAACCTGTTTTCGTTCTCATACAGTCCTAGCATTCCCATAGGCGAGTGTAGACAGTTACTTTACTAATCATGCTTATTACATTAGTGCCAGAGGACTGATTAAAAGGAGGCTCTTTCTGCTAGGCATTTTATGGGCATGGAGTGGTGTCAGTCTCTGCTCCAAAGAACTTGCAATCTAAGTAGATGAGATAGCCCACAGCAGGAGTAATCTGCATGGTAGCAGTCAGTCAAGGTAACTCCCTGGTTTTGTGTGGGTATTGAGGGGACCCTGAAGGGAAGCATGCGAGATGGAGAGAGCAGGGAAGAAAAACCTGAAAGAAATGGAATTCAGCTGTAATAAAAAGACATGGAAGAACAGGAGGAGGTAGAGCAAACCACCAATCCAGCATAGGAGACAGTCCTATCAGATCCTGAGAAAGTTATCTGAAAGTCTGAATATCTCTTGCTTTACTGCTTTTTTGTTGGTTGGAAAGAGAGAATCTCTGATTCTTCCTCCACATTTTTTCTGCAAGCCCCTGTTTCAGGCTGAGGAGACACCAGTTCAGCCTGAGTACCCTCTCTCGTTAAAGAGGATAAGGCAGCCTCCCAGAGTGGTTCTGTTGCAAGGGCAAGGTGCCATGGGCAGCGGTGCCCCCAAAGATAGATATTATCCCTGCCTTCTTATGAAGCAGAACAGATTTTACCTGAATGGAGCAACATGGGCAGCAGCCTTGCTGCAGTATTTCAATTTTGCGAAGTGTAAAAATGTTAGAACAGCAAGAGATATAAGTAGGCTGATTATCAGTTGTTCAGCGTATAAAAGCATCAAACTGCATAAATAACAAGGCATATTGGGATGAACATTTTGAGTGACAGTCAGAAGATTAAATTAAATCTGCAAATATGCATAAATAAGAGTTGAAACAAAAATAAATCAAGCTGAGTAAATCAAATGAATGGCATGGTCAGAGACTGTAATTAGGAAATGATAGAAGCAAACAACAATTGACTTATGCATTTGTAGATTTTTATACTAATTTAAATTTTATGGACAACATCAAGTAACATTTGATTTTTGATTTTGATGCACTGTAATAGAAATTTTTTTGCCACCATAGAAATAGAATAGAAATTTAATAGAAATTTGGTTTTGCCACCATATAATTTAAAGGAGCAGCATTTCTTGATAAAGTGTGATTTTTTTAATTTTCTTTTTGGTGTGGACTTTCTTCTTTTCTCTAGCAGAATATTATGACTATGTTGTTTATTATTAAAAAAAAAAAAAAAGAAGAAGAAACAATATCTGGAAGCATTACCGTGGCTTTTTTTTTTATAACCATACTACAAATGCATTTCTTTTGCAGCTGAAAGCTTACAAGTACCTATGTGTCGTCTGCTAAGTGCATTCACTTATGAGTGGGTGTATACAATTGGACTTCTCTGCCCTGCACTTGAAATTTAAAAGTATTATAACAGTTCTCTCGAAAAGCACTAAATGTGTACACTTACTATCACATGTATGTTTGTGAGGTTATTCACTCTTACGTTTGAGTCTCTGCATTTTAAGTTCCACACTGGGTACGTAATATGAGAAAGATGATGAGAAGCGGGGGAAGACAGTGTGCTGAGATGTCTGAAATAGCTACCATTGAGCTGCAAAGAGACAGAGAAGCTGCTCTAGTTAAAAGCGCTTCGCTTGCAGGAACAACTAGTGATTCCTGAGTAGGTACCATAAATAAATCTGTATCAAGAAAAGTATGATGTTATGATATGTGTGAACATATTTTAAGAAAGATTTTTATCACAATCAAGCATCTTATGTAAACAGTGCTTAAAATATTTACTAGGACTTCTTAGAATAGGTTAGTGTGTTTCTACACAATGAAATAACTTCATTCTATTTTATTTTTACTGTAGAGAAGCTAGGAACCAAGTATATGGGAATATATGTTGATATATAGGAAAGCATTGTAATTAAATATATTAGTTCAAACACCACATCAAAACCTCCCCACTAAAAGCAGAAAGAAGGATTCATTATTTACCCTCTAGAAACCATGTCATTCTACTCAGCTGAAGTAAATTTAGCCCTGGTTAAATCAGAGACAACTGGTTTATGTTTCTAAATACTGTCAATTAGGTTTTGCTTATATATAGTCTTTTTCCCTCTTATCCAAATGGTTTCCCAAGTGTTTGGCATTGTTTGAGACAAAACATCTCTTGTTTATCTTCCTGGCCACTGCCGTAGGGCCACAGGATCTCCCACTTGATTTTCCAGTATCTGACCAAATTCTCTGCCCTTCTTCTCAGACACTTGAGGGATCAGTGTACACCATCTTCCTCACTGGAGCTAAAGACACCATCAAGGACAGCTTTTCCTTGCTCTCACACCAACTGTAGAAGCATCATCAAGTTTGAAATAGTATCAGTCAGAGATTTCCTCATCCTCAGTTTTGGCAAGCCCTGCCTCTGTTTTCAGCAATTCAACACAGCCTGCTTATTCATGGGCAGAGTTGTCATAAGTTCATGCCAAAGGGACTTTGATTCTATGCCCAGCTTTCTCCCAGGGTTGTTGTTTTGGTTTGAGGTTTTTTTCCAAACAGGTGAGCCCATCCAATTCTTTCAGTGCAGGGACTAAACTTGAAAGTCTTGGTGTCCTTGCTTATCTTGTGGCCCCCAGCAGAAGTAACCATCTCTTTTGAAGTTAGGACTTAACCCTTTACTGTAGCCTTGAGACAATCAGTAGTAACTATAAGTAGGAGCAAAATTTGTCCCCTAAAACGCATGCATACAAAAGTAGATTGTGTGCATTCATGCTTAGAGACATATCACCTGAATCTAAAAGGCAAATTCTCAAAACAGAGTATGATTTTAGCTGGCTGTATTTTATTCACAGAGAAAAACTGCTCATGTTCTTGCTGAAGTAATTGAACCAATTTATGTCTGTCTGATAAAGCCCAAGAAGTCAATATCTCTCTCTCTCTCTGTCCTCTTAAGCAGATTTTAAAAACTGGGCTCCTTTGAGGCCCTCTGACTTAGATTCCTTGCTGAGAGATAGCATCTGGTAACTGAAGCTTACTATTGTCTTAGCCCAGGGATTGTCCTCTGGCTTGATTTAATTCTAAGGAATGAATCAAGTCCTGATTTAATAATGCAGTTCGAATGGCCTCCAGATTGCTTGTTTCTCAACTAAACACAAAATTTTAACCTGTTTCTCCAGATAGAAACAGGGAAACCAAAAATATTGAAATTTTCTTACAAGCTGCCAAGATGCTGTTTCCTCTCAGTTCATATCTTGGGCTTTGCCTCTTTTAGGTCATTTATTTATATGTCTGTGGCCTCCTGCGTAAGCAGCTTCTCCAAAAGATTTGGTCCTAAAATACAATGGCAAGTCTAAGAAAATACAGTAAATTATGGAAAGTTAGCAGCCTTGTTTGTGGTGTACGTGTGAAGTAAAACATCTCTGTGCGGTTTCCATGGGAAAGCTTTCTTGTTTTTTTGCTTAAATAGGCATTCAAGTGTACATAAATGGAGTCTTTAAAGAACATGCAGACTTGAAGCCTGGGATTTTATGAAGGAATACTGTAAATAAAGCTTGTTTGTTTATACAAATGAAGTTCAGTTCTTAGATGCACTCTGGCCCAGTTTCTGTCCGATCCACTGCTGCTCTGTAGACTTAGGTTATACTTCAGGGACAGCAAGTCAGGACTCAGTTTACTCTTTTATCCTACATAAATCCACCTACTCACCATTAAAAATAGCAGGAGGATGGAAAACTGGTATCACAATAAAAAGTTGCTCCAAAGGTTTGTATTCATTTTTTATTTTTTTGGTTTGCTGATAAAACTGGTTTCTGAATAACAGTGTTGTCCCTGGCCATTCACCAGTGTTTGCTGAATGTGGTGTTAATTACATATATCCCATAGGGCACTCTGAGGGTGAAAGCTTAAAAGGGCTCAAGTGCTCTCAACTGTATATTGGCTGTTGCTGTGCCATAAGGTCAAGTGCATTTTAAGATTATATGCAGACACATCTTGTGTGAGCTACATATGTATTCCCAGCACAGCTGCAGCTGTGGTTTGTGCCCAGCAGAAACATGTGAAATTGTTAGAAAGTGTCAGGATGGTAAACTGAGCCATAGCATTTTCAGCCTCATTGATACCTTTTCCTTGACTGTCATCAAATTACATGACACGTATCATGTGTATCATTGCCCCCCACCCCCCCCACATGAAAGACATTGCGGTGCTGGAATGTGTCCAGAGAAGGACAACAGAGTGGATGAAGGATCTGGAGCACAAGTACTGTGAGGAGCGTCTGAGGGAGCTGGCATTGTTTAGCCTGGAGAAAAGGAGGCTCCAGGGGGACCTTATCTCTCTCTACAACTACCTGAAAGGAGGCTGGAGCCAGGTGAGGGTCGGCCTCCTCCCACAGATAAGTGACAGGACAAGAGGAAATGGCCTCAAGTTGTGCCAACCAGGGGAGGTTTAGATTGGATATTAGGGAAAAATTCTTCCCCAGAAAGGTTGTCAAGCAAGGCTGCCCAAGGAAGTGAAGTCCCCACCCCTGGAAGTATTTCAAAAGCGTGTGTATGTGGCATTTAGGGACATGATTTGGTGCTTGACTTGGCAGTGCTGGGTTAATGGTTGGACTCAATGAACTTAGAGGTCTTCTTCAAACTAAACAATTCTGTGATTCTATGATTACATTTACAGATTAAAAAACTGCATTTCTTAGTCTAATAAAAGAATATTTGAAAAGAAAAAGGGACGGTTGTTGTGTTGCTGTTTAGACAAACTCAGTTGTTATATGTCAAAGACTTGCTGTTGTATTCAGTAAATTTCGACTGCCCTAATGATTTATTTTTTTGTTATTTTGACATTAACCAGTTTCAACTCATCCATTTTTTTGTTATT